TTCTTTGGCAGACTTGTGATTTTGCTACGTTATCCATGTTGATGCAGATTACAAAACATCCTTCTTCGTTTCTAGAAATTGTTTGACCTTGTTTTTGCAACAATCATATTGGTAGGAAGACTTAGAGGAACGCACCTAGTCCGGAGTCCATTGTGGGCATGATCACTTTCAAAGTTGACCGTGGACCTGTTACATTCCCAAACGTTTCGCCGGCATCTTAGTCGACATCGTCAGTGAGTATCGCCATTCTTAGCATCATACAACAACTCGTCATTTGATTTTGCTACGTTATCTATGTTAATGCAGATCACAAAACATCCTTCTACGTTTCTGTTTAAAAAGGGCTGAGCTTTCGCTGATAGACGTCATCCAAGTTAGAATTCATTCTTGCAAAGTCATCAATATATTTTCGCTTTTTATTTATGTGTATGTACAGAATCTAAGATGGAGCTACCTAGTATGCTTTAAGCCTTTACGAGAATGGGCTGCAGCCACGCTGTCTGTTATAATACATAATAAAGCTTAGTTCTTTTCTACTCGAAAAAGGAATGGGTCAATCTGAATGGCGTAGCAAAATCAAATGAGAGCAAAACAACAATGTTGGCTAAATACCCTTTATCGCCTTATATTTATCAATCAAGCATATGTAATTATTTACCAAATACCTACCTACATTCAACAATTTTCAGATTATTTCTAATCAATTGATGTCTTTTCTTGCGTTTAACGGCAAATGTACCATACTAAAAAACCACTGTTTTTGAGGCAATTTTATCTCGTGTTCGGTTTATACCTTGTGCATAAACATTTGTGACTTAAAATATTTTTTTAACAGCTTGCTGCCCTTAAGAACGAGCTAAAATTATTTTTTAAAAGGAGGCTTGATCTTCTAAGAGAAGATCTAAGATCTAAGAGAAGATAGGCAGTCCTGATAGTTAGTCAAAAATGCAAATTTAACATTGCAGAACTATACAAGCAGCGAAATTCTACTATAATATGATCGAGTTCACCTGCTAAGTCAGGAATGGTTCGCGTACCATTATACTTCCAGCCCTTCAAAACGTGGGTCCAGTGAAAGATGTCTGTCTCGCCTTGGAAGTCATCTGTACCTCTAGGCTAATTGGGAGGGCGTCAACATTTGGTCAAATGTGAATCATACTTCAAATTATATTTAAGGCTCCATCAAGAGGCCGAAATTTAACCTTTCTAGATTAGAGCGAGAATAAGAGATGCATGAAAAATCAAGTTCCTCTTTAGCAACTCAATTATGAGGCCTCGAATTGCCGAAAAGAGCTAAGGAACGAATATTACCAAAAAGCTCACGACTTTTAGACTAGGCAGCAGAATGGCTATGGGCAATTAAAAAGGGTATATAAAAATTGTATTATCCTATTTCGTTAAAGGTGATAAAAGATTGGTTGTTAAATTCTTTCAAAATGATATGAATAGGCCTTAAATTTCCAGTGATTTTACTGCTTCCCAAAAGGTATTCTTGTATTTTCCATGACGGCAGGACCAAGAGTAATTCAATAGATTCGTCGGAAATACTTTAAAAAATTGTGAAAAATTTCACTATCATTCTTTAAGTCACTTTAAGTGATCTATTGAGATGTAAATATGACCCCGTGAAAAATTTCGCTTCAAGGCCTACAAGCGATCCAAACTGATTTTGGCTTGTTTATGCATAGTAATCTTGGCCTTAATAATTGGTCGCATCATTATGGTAACACTAGAATACAGTTTGCATGTTTCTAGGCAAAAAGGAGGCTAATTGTAGGTGTGAAGACCAAGATGTTGTGATCTCTGTTTTGGCTGTAGTCTCCTTATGCTGGCTAGAAGTGCTTTGACCCTGTTTTCTCAGCTGGGTCGTATTTAAGCGAGACCAAGATCAATGTGCCTTGTCCAATGTCCTTTGCTGTAGTAGTTATGATGATTTACAGCTTCGAAGAATAGACTTGACACATTCTAAACGTTTTGGGAATGTGCCGATCCCACTGTTCGACGCTGGAAATTAGCATGACTGCACGAAGGCAGAAGAACTAGATCGTCTTGACAACATGACCAAGTTGCAAAAACGAAGTCAAACCACTTCTAGAAGGAGGCTAATTGAATGATGTCGGATAACCATCTCGCGACCATGATAAGCCAATGACTTATTCGCACAAATCTAGTCGCAGATCCAGACAACCTCCCTTCGCCTTTCAAAGAGACTAACTCACGAATTAGTTTCACTCGCCTCTTCAAAGGCAATGAAAGATATCCCAACATCAATCCATCAAGGGTTTCCTTAAAAGCTAGTTATTCTACATATCTAGTTGAATAATGTCTGCCGGTTTCTTTTAAAGTACTGGATTTTGGCAAGCCAAACTTAGCAGCCGCTATCCCTCCTTATTCCAAGGCTATTCAACTTACAACAGAAGAAGGTACCAGAACAAGGGTCAATCTTGCCTGAAAGTCAATCAGCTCTGCTATCCGAACGCCTGCAAGTACTCGCAGACCCTGAATCTCGCCCAACTCGCCCCGGCGGCGCAACTTGACCAGCTCCATTCGTGGGCTATCCGATAGTCGGCTACAGTCAACCAGCACGGTTATAGGGCTCCCGTAGATGCCTTGATCTCCTGAGGATCGGTCTCCGTGGGCACGAACAGTCAGTTTCATAGTTCGTGCTGCGCGTACCAACCGTGAGATCTCGGCGAAAGAGTGCGGCTCGGCCTGTATCAATTGGATGATCACACCAGGCTGAGAGTCCAAGTGGAAGGGATGCGGACGGATTATGGGCAGTTTCCCAACTCGGCGCTGCAGTTCACTGGCTAGACGAATGCCTAAGTTGGGGTCGGCCATCACACTAGGGTCAAGATGGATGCTCATCTTCCGCTTCCCGTCAACGTCTTGATTCGCAAATTCCTGAAAGCCTTCCAACTTGCTGCAAGTCAGATGTTGGCTCAGTCTAGTCTGCCTGGTTAAGAGGGGCCGCAATAGCCCAAACAACAAGAGACAAATACGAACTTAAGCCGAGTTCTTAGTTGTCAATACTCCAATGTCTGAATGCTCGGAGAGAGGAGGACCGTTTCTGAGGCGAGCGAGTGAGTGTGTGCAAGAGTGGCTGCTGTATTGGCAGGGGTTTGCTTTGTGCGCTCTCTTGTCTTCTGCTGGCCGAGTTGGCAGTGTCCGATGTGGCGCCCTTAGTGGGTAGGCATATTGGCGAATTTTTTCATTCTGACCTGCAAGGTCGGCATACTCCGAGTTCACCTTGCCCCAGAAGCAGAGCGGATTTGAATGGCTGCATTCACTCTAATCGCTTCAGGCATATCTCTCTTTTGACATCGATCGGATATGCGCCAGACCGGTCAAGTCCGGTCCGGTTAGTCAAGTTCACTCCGGTCTGATACGGACCGGTCCGGTTTGGTTAATTTCAGTCCAATCTAGTCTGATCTGCTCCAGTCTAATCCAGTCCGGCTTAACCAAGCTTGGTTCGGTCTGTTCAAGTCCGGCCAGAAATAATTCTCTTCTGTCCGGTCCGGTCTGATAAGGTCGAATCCTCTTCTGTCCAGTCCGTGCCTGTCTGGTCCTGTTCGTGTGATCCGGTTTGGTCAATTTCAGTCCGATCTGGTCCTGTCAGGTAAAATTTTTCTTCTATCCTGTCCGGCTTCGTTAATTTCAACTTGGTCTGGTCCTTCGAGTTTGATCATGTTTTTTGGTCTGGTCCGCTAAAGTCCTATTCTGTCCAGTCTTGACCAATACCATTGAATTTCCCTTAGTTTTGCCTCCAAAAAGTCTTATTCAGGATAGACCTCAGTTATGATCTAGTCCTAGTCTAACTAGCACTCCTAGCCGGATTTGATGTAGGATCGTAAGCATCTTAGCCATGCCACCATTCGACTAAATTGCACGAACACGAATAATATGAGTCACATGGCAAATTCGACATTCGAGGAAAAGATTCTCCCAACTCAGATTTATAGTAGAAATTTTGGATATGCGAAAATACGTTCACTATTCCAATCTATGAAGTTACTTATTTTTAATATTATTAGTTTTTAAAAGTATCAGTACTTTTTGAATAAGAGCCCAGTTTATTTCAGTCGGGTCTGGTCAAGTTAGGCCAAATGTTATCTTTTCCGGTGAGATTTG